AAGACCCATTGGCCCATGGAAGCTCCTCCCCTCTTGCCATGACCCACGCCATGAGGTGGGATGTCCTCCAGACCCATTGGACCATGGAAGCTCCTCCCCCAGCCCCATAGCTCATGGGGTGAGGTGGGACGTCCTCCAGTCCCATTGGACCATAGAAGGTCCTCCCCCAGCCCCATAACTTCTTCAATGGGGTGGGACATCCCCAAGGCCCATTGGCCCATGGAAGCTCCTCCCCCAGCCCCATAACTCATGTGATGTCCTCCAAGACTCGTCGCCCTACGGAAAGTTCTGTCAGCCCCATAACTTCTTCCATGAGGTGGAACGTCCCCCGAGCCCCATTGGCCAATGGAAGCTCCTCCCCCAGCCCCCCCTAACTTCCTCCTCCTCCCTTCCCGCGCAGTGTGCAGAGGGCCGGCCACGCCCATCCCGCCCGAGGTCCAGATCCTCTACACCACTTCCTGCAGCCCCAAGTTGGACGAGGACTCGGTGGAGCTCTTCTGCCTCATCACCGGCTTCACCCCGGCCACCATAGAAGTGGAATGGTTGGTTGACGGCATCCCCGATCTTCTAACGGCCACTCAGACGTCGCCGCGGCGAGAAGAAGGTGCCGCCACCTACTCCGCCACCAGCCGTACCAACATCAGCCACACCGAGTGGTTGGAAGGGAAGACCTTCACCTGCCGCGTCAGACATCCCGCCTCCGGCACCATCATCCAGGACCACGCCCGGGCCTGCTCTGGTGAGGACGTGGGTATGGCACAGGGACACCGGGGCGGGGAGGTGGCGCCGGTGGAGAAGGTCGCGTGGTCATGGTGGGTGGTGTCAGTGGAGAAGGTTGAGTGGTCGTGGTGGCACCGGTGGAGAAGGTTGAGTGGTCATGGTGGCACCGGTGGAGAAGGTTGCGTGGTTGTGGTGGCACCGGTGGAGAAGGTTGCGTGGTCGTGGTGGCACCGGTGGAGAAGGTTGTGTGGTTGTGGTGGCATCGATGGAGAATGTCACATGGTCGTGGTGGCACCGGTGGAGAAGGTTGTGTGGTTGTGGTGGCATCGATGGAGAATGTCACATGGTCGTGGTGGCACCGGTGGAGAAGGTTGTGTGGTCATGGTGGGTGGCACCGGTGGAGAAGGTCACATGGTCGTGGTGGCACCGGTGGGGAAGGGTGGGTGGTCATGGTGGG